CGCCCTCCTCCGTGGCCGCTCTCCTCCTCCCCCAAGGCCTGGTGCGAGGTCCGCTCTCTGCCGCGCCCTGGCTGTGGCTGAGAGTGCCGCGTCGCGTGTCCGGCGGTCGCCGCTGCCCCAGACACTCTGTGGAGACCTGCTGGTGGTGGTGTGCATTTCTCTCCCTAGTCGGAAACCGGAACATATACATGACCAGTGGCGGGCCGTTTTTCAATCTTACGATTTTTCGAGGGTCGGCGACGACGTCGGGGTGGTCTGGTGTATACTTGTTCCCCGTTTCCGCGGGGAAACAACGAAAAATGTATACACCAGGATCCCGTATACACCAGGATCCGCGTTCCTATGCGAGTTTCAGCGCAGGGTCGGAAAAATCGTCGGTGTATAGAGTTCGTTTCCTTACCCATGGGCTCGACGAGGAAGTTTCAGGCCAGTCCACGCATAAGTCCAATGATTTCTTCTGTCGAAGTCTGGCACGTCGTGGCCGCTCCAGCGCGAGTCGAGGGACGGCATGAGCAGTCGAGCCCTTGGCGAACTTCCCTCCCCCCTGGAGGAGCGGGGAGTTCTTCTTCTTCTCGCACGACGGCAGGCGCGGCATCCCCCGCCGAGGAGACGGTCGGAGGGCGGGGAAGGGGGAGGGCGAGGAAGAGAGAAGGATGGCAGGGGGAGCGAGGGAGGCAGATGGAACGACGGGAGCAGGAGGAGGAGGAGGAGGAGGGAGGAGGAGGAGGAGGAGGAGGAGGAGGAGGAGGAGGATGAGGAGCAGGGGGAGTAGGTTGAGGAGGAGGAGGAGGAGGAGGAGGAGGAGGCGGAGGAGGCGGAGGAGGCGGAGGAGGCGGAGGCGGAGGCGGAGGCGGAGGGCAGATGAGGCTGATGAGGCGGCGGATGAGGCGGAGGAGGAGGAGGAGGCGGAGGAGGAGGACCACTGTAAACCCAAGAGTCAACAACGATGGTTGGAGTAAACCCTCCCTCCAAGCTCCCTCTTCATAGGCCCCTACAACAGTTCATGTCCATTGATGGAACTGCCTCGTTAGAAGACACCCGTTTTCAGACCCTCAAGCATGCCAAGACATCGTTCTCGGGATTCCAACGCCACGGATCAACCTGACTGTTGCGTCTTGGTGATCCTGAATCGTGCCAGAACGCCATTCCTAGAACGTCAGCACAGAGAAACAACGTAATCGTTGCACCTGTATAATACTGAATTCTTCCACCGCCACTTCTGGTACGTTGATGATGGAAATCCGTAAGTCTCTTGTATTTTTTACACGAATGTGCGCGGCGCTAAGGCGAAAGTCACATTTTGAAAAGGAACCGCCCTCAATCCGTGAAGCTCTTCCATGTTTTAGAACGAATTTGCGCGGCGCTAAGGCAAGAGCCGCATTCTGAAAACGATCCGCCCTCAATCCGTGACGCTCTTGCAATTTGTTTGAACTGGATGTACACCGCGCTAAGACAAGAGGCACATTTTGAAAACCACCCGCCCTCAATCCGTGAAGCTCTTGCATGTTTTAGAACGAATGTGCGCGGCGCTAAGGCGAGAGCCACATTCTGAAAACGATCCGCCCTCAATCCGTGAAGCTCGGGCGAATTTTAGAACAAATGTGCGCCGCACTAAGGCGAGAGCCACATTCAGAAAACCACCCGCCCTCCATCTGTGAAGCTGTTGTCAATTTTTACCCTTCAGAGCCATACATGGTGAAGAAGTCTCAGGCGAAACGCCCGGCTTGCCCTAACAACTGGCCTCGGGGTGCGACAGGGAGAAGTTATCTATGAGAAAAAGGAATGAAGGAGGAGGAGGCAGAGGAGGAGGAAGAGGAGGAGGAGGAGGAGGAAGATGCAGATGATGATGATGATGATGATGATGATGATGATGATGATGATGATGATGATGATGATGATGATGATGATGATGATGATGATGATGATGATGATGATG